GGAGCTGGCTGTGGCTACAGGGGTGGGGTGGGCTTCGCTGGTGCGGCCCAGGCCAGGCAGGTCTAGGCGTCTGTGGGTGGCCTGGGACCGCCCCAGCGCCAGGCCCCGCTTCCTCTCCATCGCAGCCAGGCCATGCCCGAATCCGCAAGGTGGGCCTGTAGCTGTGGCACCGGTTCTGAGCTCGGCGCCGCCACTCCTCAGGGGGCGAATCCGGGAAGCCTGCGGTGTGCCCAGGACTCAGTCTTCCCGTGCCTCAGTGGGCACTATGCTTGGTTCTCCCTGGACCAGCAGGTGCTGGGAGTGCGTGTGGGGGAGTCCTGCAACATGGCCATGTCTGACTCCCCCTTGCCCTTTAGACAAGGCGCTTCTCCCACCACAGAGCTCCCCTTTTGGGGCCTTCCAGGAAGCAGGTTCTGCCTGGGAGGGGTGCTTCAGGGCCTTCTTGGCAGAGTGGGGTGCCATGGACATGTCATGCCCACTCGCCTGGACTTGAGGGCGCACGCCAGCACCCGGGATTAAAGCCAACGGCCTCCCTGGCCCCGGGCCCCTCCCAAAGTGGAAGAGGCTTTCACAGCCAAGACCATGGATGGTGGTTAACATCGAGAAGCCCTGGCCTTGGCCATCCACTGCCACTTAGCTGCGGTCATCTGACTTCCCATTTGGCTCAGACCTGTCTGGAGGAGGGGGTAATGAGTTAGGAGGGCCTGGCCTGCCACCCCAACAACACACTACCAGCCCCCCTGGAAAGCCTGACTCCTCATTGGCCCCAGCACCAGAGATGGGCTGGGCCTTGTCAGGTGTGTGTGTGGGGGGTGCCCTTCAGGTGCTGAGTCTACAGGCTTGTTACAAGTCCCCTCCTCACCTCTGCCCACCTTCCAGGCTGGGTCTGGACTCTTTGCACCAAGAAGCCAGGAATCAGAGGAAGAAATAGGCAAGGTGTACATTTGGTTATTCATTCCATTGGCATTTATTAAGGAACTACTCTAAAGTGTAGGTCTGCTCACCCAGAGTTCAGTTTACTCCTAGACCCATAAATGGGCATGGCATGACCATGGGGCACATACTGTGGGAACCAGAGCAAGGACCAAGCCTGGAGGGCTTGCTGGAGGAGGTGCTGGTAGAAGCAAGAGAAAGAGGAGGTATTCTTTAGAGAATTGTGTAGAAGGACCCAGACATTAACACGGTGCCTGCAAAAAGAGGGTGTGGTAAAGGGTTATCGTTGGCCTGGGGTTCAGGCCCCTGAGCCACATGGCCCCTGCTGCCTCTGCGTCTCTGTCTTGAAGTTCCAGCCAGTGCATAAAGAAGATGGGTGGTCCTGGTTATCTCACCAGGGCATAGGAGGTCCCAGAGCGCCTGGGCGGGTCTCCTTGCTCACCCCATCTCCCAGCGCTCCACACAGGGTGGCACACAGTAAGTGCTCAGTGACACCTCTCACTGCCTTCTCCCTCTGCATCTGCATCCCACAGCACTTTGTGAGTCAGTGAGAGCTGAGTCTGGTTCTGTGTTTTCAGTGTGGCAAAGTGCTTTCCACACAAGCCAGTATGTGGGATGCTCCTGAAAGTCCAGTGCGAAAGGCATCCCGGTTGTCATGCCCATCATCATCGCCCGCCAGGGGACGGCACAGCGGGGTGGTTTAAGCTCCTGGGCTCTGCAGCAGGACTGTTCTGGATCTACCACTCATTGGCTGTGTGATCTGAACAAAGCGCTTAACCTCTCTGTGCTCCAATTTCCCTGGTTATACAAAGGGAATAACAGTGCTCATAGGAGCATCAATCGGTTGCCTGCAGCGTAAAAAGAATACCTCCCACACAGCATCACCTCGCTGTAAGGTCGCTGCTATCATCCCCTTTCTAGATGAGCACACGGAAGGTCAAGATCACCCAGCTGCCCTGAGGCGCAGGGCTTCTCTCCTCAAGTCTTCAGATTTCAGATCTTGTGTTTTGGGATTATCTTCCCCCACCCCCATACCTGTGTCCCTTGTCCACCTGTCTCCTCCTCTACCTGTCTGCACTCGGTTGTCTGTTGGGGTGGGGCTCCTGTATAGCTTCCCCGTCTCCCCAGTGCCTGCAGCAATGCCTGGCCGCAGAGGACATCCTTGGGAAGCATACTTCCACTGGACGGTCCAGTTGGGGCCTCCAGACCCCTTAGAGGTAGTTAAAAGTCTTTTTACAGCTGTATTGGGGGACAATAAGTCACACACATCAATTTTCATATAGACACACGTGCATACACACACACACACACATCCATGAAACCCAGGGCCACCCAGGGCCACAAGCAGAGTGGGCATATACTTGCATCCCTAAGATCTTCCCGTGCCTCTTTGCACCCCCTCCCTCCAATTGCCCAATTATCTGGTTCATAGGGGAGATGGGCATCCCAAGAAGTTTACCTCCCCAGAGACACTGGGCCAGCAAGGGGCTCTGCAGGATGTGGATCGAGGCAACCGGGCCCCACCTGCCTCTTCACTGCAGTGCCAGGCTGCCTGGATGCTTCCAGACAGACAGGGGTGTCGTTTGTGAGGAAGCCCTCCTGGGATCCTCCCCAGAGCCACCTCTGTTGGGACCCAAGAGGACGGTCAGCCAGGAGGAGGTAGCTGATCCTTGTGAGCCAGGGGCATGCATGCAGCAGGAGCGAGCTGACGCCAGGGGCTGCAGGGGCCAGGTGAAGGTGCCTTGAAGCTGGGAGCCAGGCGATGCAGTGAGCTTGCAGGCCCAAGGGGTGGGTGCTGGGCTCAGCAGGCGTGCGTGTGACTGCGAGTGTGAGTGTGACCCTGTGACAGCTGAGGGCAGGGACCCGCCGCTCCAGCGCTGGGGGTGGCAGGCGTTGCTGCGAATCCTGGTGTGTGTGGGGGGCTGGGCTGGGAACCGGGGGCTGAGGGTGGTAGTAAGAACAGTGATGGCGGCTGGGAGGATGCTGCAGGGTGGTGGGGGCTTGTGTGACTTTGCAGTTCAACAAATTCCGATCAGCCAACCCAGCAGACACTGCCGGGGCGCCAGGCAGCCAGCTAGGAGGAGGAGACAGGACTGTCTGCAGCTAAACAGGCCTGCCCTGGGGTTTTGTGTGAACCCCTCCTGGCAGGTGTGGGGCTGGGTGCTTTCTGCCTTTTCTGGAATGACATCCTCACAGTCTTGCTAACCCGTTTTGAAGAAACAGGGGAGCACAGAAAGGAAGTGACTTGCCCAAGGTGACCCAGCCACTCAGCCGCTGGGCAGAATCCAAGCCCAGCTGCAGAGAGGCTGAGTCCTCCAGCATTGGGGTTTCCCGGGTGCCAAGCCGGTTCTGGAGGTGGGCTTAGACTCCCGCCCTGGAACCTTCCCCCACCCTCCAACCACGTGGGCTAGAAACCAGGCCACGGTCAACGTCTGAGGGGCGGGGCGGTTGGTTGCCCCTAATTCTCCCTTCCTTGGGGCCAGAGCCCCGACCGAGGGGCCGAACATCTCTCGCAGACCCCCGAGGCGCCTCGCCCTCGCCTGAGGCCCTCCGGGTGCTCCCACCCCCCCACCTCTCCCGGTGCTGACTCTCGGCCAGAAGAGGAAAGGCTGTCTCCACCCACCTTCGTTTCTCCTTTATAAAGGCCGGAACAGCTGAAAGGGTGGCAACTTCTCCTGCCGCCGGGAGCAGCCCGCCTGCTTCCCTGCGCGCCCGCAGCCTCCCCCGCTGCCTCCCCGAGGGCTCCCCTACGGCCGCCAGCGCCCATCTTTCATTCTCGACATAGAGATATTTTGCGCACACACATACACACACGCGCAAAAAGGGGGAAAAAGCCCACCCATCAGCCTCGTTGCAAAGAGAAAGCCGGAGCAGCCGCAGCTCGCAGACCGCAGAGGACGCCCGGAGCCGCGAGCCGGCTGCCAGACAAACCGACGGACTCGCGGCGCGTCCACCTGTCTGCCCCGCCGGGCCCGGAGCGCTGCGGGCACGCCGCGCGCGCGGAGTAGCCGTGCCCGCTGTCCGGGCCCCGCGCCAGGGCGCACACGCTCCGGGCCCCCCCACCCGGCCCGGGCGGGAGTTTGCACCTCTCCCTGCCCCGGCACTCGGGCCGGCACTGCAAAGCCAACTTTGGAAAAAGTTTTTTTGGGGAGACTTTGACATTGAGGTATCCAGCTCTGCGCTTTCCGACTTCGGGGACCTTTCCAGAAAATGTTGCAAAAAAGCTAAGCCGGCGGGCAGAGGAAAACGCCTTTAGCCGGCGAGTGAAGACGAACCATCGACTGCCGCGTTCTTTTTCCTCTTGGAGGTTGGAGTCCCCTGGGCGCCCCCACACGGCTAGACGCCTCGGCTGGCTCGCGACGCAGCCCCCCGGCCGTGGATGCTCGCTCGGGCTCGGGATCCGCCCAGGTAGCGGCCTCGGACCCGGGTCCTGCGCCCAGGCCCTCCCCAGCCCCCGCCCCCCACCCTGGCCGCGGGGGCTGCGCGCTCGGTCCACGCGTCCGGGGCCCCGCGGGGCCGGGCCGGGAGTCGGCATGAATCGCTGCTGGGCGCTCTTCCTGTCTCTCTGCTGCTACCTACGTCTGGTCAGCGCGGAGGTGAGTTGCGGCTACCCTGGGGCTGCTTCACTTCATTCATCACCCCCACCCCCACCCCTGGGCCGCCCCCTCCTCTCGCCGCCGCGAACTTTGGACCCAGGCAGCCCTGCGCCTGGCGGCGGACACTAGATGACCTCCCGGGGCTGAGACGTGGGGTTCAGGAGGTGCCAGGCACGAAAGGGAGGGGACCGCGGCTTTCTTTCCCACGGGCGATCCCCGAGCCTTTAAGCGTCAGGAGAGGGTGTGTGGTCCTGGCCCAAGCCCCTCCGCAACCGGAGGAGAAATCGCTTCCCGGCCGGAGGGAGAGGGGAGTGGGGGTGGTGCCGCGGGTGCAGAAGACGGGTGTCTTCCCGACCCCACTTAGGCTCCAGCTTCGGTTCTGTCCTGGACCCGGCTGGCGCGGGAGGTGCGAGCTCGGAACCCGCGGCAGCCACGCCA